CGAGTCGCTGGGCAGCGCCTCTGGCTCGGAGGGAGGTGAGTGCGGGCTCCCTAACCGGAGGTTTCTCCGAGGAACGGGGGGAGAATCACTGAGTGTCCCTAAGGGGGGTGGCAGTGCCGTGCCGAGACCCTGTTACGCCCCCAAGCCCCTGGGATCGGTGTTTCCCCCAGCCCACGCGTGTTCTATCCCGAGCCCCCCAGGTGGGTGTTGCCCGGCGCTGACCTGCCTCCGTTCCTCCCGCAGATGCCGAGTACGCCGAGGGGGTGTCGCTGCCGGACCTGGACCTGGAGCTGCTGCACGACCCCGAGGACGAGCTGCTGTGCTCTAACCTGATGGACGTGGTGCAGGCCACGTTGGGCCGGGCCCCGCTGGGCTCCAAGCGCTGTTCCCGGCTGCTGATGCCGGCGCAGCTCCTGGCGCAGGTGCGGGCGGAGCTGCAGCGCCTGGCGCGCAGCGAACCCTGCGGGCTGCGCGGGGCCCTCCTCGACCTGTGCGTGGAGCACGGCAAGGCCTGCCACGACGTGGGGCACATCGCCGTGGACCCCGCCGTGGTGCCCACCTTCCAGCTCACCCTGGTGCTCCGGCTGGACTCCCGCCTCTGGCCCAAGATCCAGGGACTGTTCGCCTCGGGACCGGCCTTCGCGCCGCTGAAGCTGAGCACGGGCTTCAGGGTGATCAAGAAGAAGCTGTACAGCTCCGAGCAGCTGCTCATCGAGGAGTGCTGACGGGCCGGGCCCCGCTTCCCGAGTGCTTTGGAAGAGCCGGTCGGAGCGTTGGGCGGCTCGGGGCAGCCGCTGTAGTTTAGGTTAGGCTGGAGTAGGGCTGTAGGTGGAAGTAGTTTGGGCAGGTGGAGGTCCCCGTGGGGCCCTGCCTATGCCGGGACATCCCTGACGTGGAGCGGACCGGGACCCGGGCGGAGGTCGCTTCGCGCTGTCGATGACTGTGGGATGATCCCGGGCTGATCCCGGTGACTGCGCTCCCGGAGGCGGCAGCGGGGCTGCCGGGGGGGGCGGCCGCTCTCCTGACGGCCGATCGATCGTGGGGCTCTTCTTTTGTAACGAGGATTGTAATCAGTGGGGTTTCGGGGGGCGGGGGGGAGCGAGTGATGGCTGAGCCGTGGGTCTGGATCAAAGACAAACCCCCTCCCCGGCAGCCGGGCGGGAGGGGGCTCTGGAATTGCGCCGTGTCTTTGATCACGAGAGCGGTGGGAGAGGGGCACGTGAGGTGCCGCGGGGCCGGAGGGCAGGACCCCCGGCCCCGACACTGTGTGGGCCTTCATTGGTTACAGTTTACACTCATACACTTGATGTTCAAGTGCGACAATTCCTATGCAAATCGTGTGGGGTGGTTTTTTACTTTTCTAATAAAAGTTGTCTTGATTGATAACCCACCGTCTCCCTGTTGTCAGTCTGGTCCGGGGAGGGGATGATGCAACCCCTGCTCTGAAATCCCCGCTGGCACCCTCGGGAAGGCTTTCCCTTGGCAGGGCAGCCCCTGTGGTGGGAGCTGGAGGTTTTGGGAATGGTGGGGAATCCCGGTGCGCCCACTCCTAATTGCAGCCACGGGGCTGTGACTCAGGGGGGGCTGAGTCAGGGCCCTGAGCCAGCCCAGTGCCTGCTCATGCCTGGGGAGGAACACCCCAGCATCCCAGCCACGAGCTGCTGCTCCTCCCCTGGGAGCCATGGGGGAAAATCTGGGCCGAAAACCAGGAGAACTGGCTAAAATTGTGACTGAGGGGAGGGTCACACCTGCCAGGAACGAGCATACCCCAACCCCAACCGCACTGCCAAGCTCAGACCAATCACACAAACCTGCAATTAGAGGCCTCGGGGGGAAAAGGCTTTCACTCAAGGGTGATTAAGTCACTTGGCAAACGAGGAGCCCTCCCCGAGGAAGGTGTGGGGGGATAGAACCAGCCTGAAACACCGTTTCCATTCACATACGAGTTTGTTCTGGCTCAGGTTTTGAGTTGCTGGAGTTTTTTTGTTTTGTTTTATCCCCCTGTGGACAAACAGTGACTTCTCATGGAAAAAAACTTGGATTTGACACGGACAACCCACAACTGGAGCGTTTCTCACTGGTGTAAATACCACCCAGGAGCAGTCAGGGTGGCACAGCTGGAAACAGACCTTTGCACACCCACATTGGGCAAAGGGGGGGGCTCTGGAACATTTCTCAAAGGGTCACGTGCCAGAGCATCCCCCCCTCACATGAGGGGCATCCCCCTGCTGGGGTCAGGCAGCACCCCGTGGGACCATCCAGCACAAATCCATCCCCGGGGGGGTGGAAAAGGAAGTCCAAACCCCAAGTTTTTTTGGCAAAGCTGCGAGAGGAGCAGGTTTTGGCACTGCCAGGGCAGTGTGTTGCTCCTGGGATGATTTATGGCGCAGTGACCGGGCTGTGCAGTCATCCCCTGCCGAGGCACATTGAGACTTGGAGAGATAAATATAGCCCATAAATACGTGTATTTTTAAATATCAAGCTCCTAAGCACATGGAGGGGGGTGGCCCTGTGCCTCCTGTGCTTCCAGCAGCAGCGTGACCCCCACTTGTCCCCTACCAGCCACTCCAAGGGAAGACAGGGGACTCTGCAGCCTGTTTTTTAAAATCATCATGCCAAGAAAACAGTAAAATCCACCAAAACTCCCAAAAGTGAACACAAAGCAATGGGACACCCTCTTTGCTGGGGGGTGCCCAGCAAAACCCTCTGTTCAGAAAACACCCCATTGTCTCAGCCCCAGCTGTGAAGGTGAAGTTTTGGTCTTATTTATGGCAAAACGGCCTTTCCATGGGAAATTTGGGGGCATAGCAAGGTCCCTGGGGTTTGGCTGCTCTCTGGAAGGTGCCAGGAGCTTCCAGCCAGGCTGGATTAAGTGTCTCCCATGGCAGGGGGGTAGGCAAAGGGATATTTTGGGACCGAGGAGGCATCAGTGGAGCTATTTGTGGCACCAGCATCAGCCTGGGGATCCCAGGTGCCAGCACAGCGGTGGGAAAAGGGAGATTTTGGGGACACAAGCAGCAGTAAGGCAAATGAGGATTTAAATCCCACAGTAATGCTAAACCCTCATGTTTTGCTACCAGAAATTACAGTGAGAAGTGGAGTTTGCTCCCTACCTGCCTGCCAGAGGACACTGCTCCCAGAGTACCTGCCTTTGTTGCCTCCCGATCTTTGGCAGCTGCTCCAATTAAAAGCTTGGGCTAATGAGCTGATGGGCAGCCCAAATCACCTGCAGGTGAGGAAGGACAAAAACACACTGAAATTCAGAGCGTCTCCCATTGCTCTGGACCCAAAACTTAGCAAAACCACCCCAAAAACTGGGCCATGAACGTGCCTGGTTGCAGCCATGCCAGACTCCCCAGGGGCTGACTCACCACTGCTGGGAATGTGGCACGGAGGGACCCACAGGGGCACCACCTCTTCTCCATCCCTCTCCCATCCCAGGGAAGGGGAAGCCCCCCCCAGCACAGGGGTTTTCTGGGATGGCAATGAACCCAAATTCCATCCACTGCCTGCCTGTGTGAATACAACGAGGAGCTGGAGTGAGGAGCTGCAGGACACCAACACAGCCAGAGCCTTTCACATTATAAACATTTATTTATAGATGTACAATTGTATAATTAATTCTAAATTGAGAGATAACAGCCTCTGTGAGCATCCACTGGGATCGACGCCTTCTCGCTCCTTATGATCCGTGGGTATCTACTGGAAAACAGACCAATCCCAAGGTTTTGGCGGGCAGGCTCCGGGCAGGGAATGCCGTCGGGCAGCACATCCAGCTCCTTCCGCGAGCGGGATTCTCCTTCAACCCCGTCCCCATCATCCCTGTGCCTCTATCAAGCGCCATTTCCAAATGCTGAACTTCCACCCACTTCCTGCTGAAGGTGGAAGAGTCATTTAAAAAAAAAAAAAGGATTAAAATCAAAACCCCCTTAAAATCAGGTCCAAGCCACGGTTGGCTGTGGGGTAACAGGGCTTGTGGCCAGTGGGAGGGTGAGATTTCACAAAACAAATTAACAGCTGCAGACAGAGCGAGTGGCTTCCTACGGACAACGGGATAAAACCACCTCTGCCACCCCACCTGGGAGCTGCCCAGCCTCTGATTCACTCCCCGAGCGTGCCGGGGGGACAGTTCTCACTGGAAATGTCTTCAGACACAGATGGAACTGAAGAGCAGCAGAACAAAATTAAAATCATCCAGTTTATCCCGTGGGAGGCAGCTCTGCTTGTGCCAGCTTTGCTTCCAAGGGGTGGCTCCTGACCTCGGGCACCCTCCCGCCGGTGCTGCCTGGCAGTGATGGAGACACAGCACAGGGCCCAGGGCTGCCCTGGTCCCCCCAGCAGAACTGCTTTCAGAAGCAACATCACACTCCATTTCTCGTGGATCTGCAGTATTTCCCAGGTCTCCTCAGGGAAACGTGGTGCTGAGGTGCAGCCAAGGCCCGGCTGCTCTCGGTGGGTGGGTGGGCGAGGAGCCCCGAGCGTGGGACACGCACAGAACCCCTCACAAAGGGCAAGGCCGACGGGAAGCCCTGGTGGGGAGCCCTGGTGGGGAGCCCTGGTGGGGAGCCCTGGTGGGAAGCCCTCTCTGCACGGAGCGCACACCACACGCTGATTACCAGGCAGAATTCCAGCAGAGTCGGCGAAAAAAGAAGTGACGTGCACAGATGAACCCAACGACTGACGAGCACAAACCATCCAGGACAATCCTCCCCGTGGCCCACGCCGGCGCTCAGCTGACCCGCCGCGGCTTCTGCCGACGCTGCAGAACCACAGCACGGCTCCGGGCGGCTCCCCTGGTGCTGTCACCCCCTGCAGCTCTGCAGTTCAGTTTGCTGAAGGCAGGTACGGACATCCCAATGCCCACGACGCCGCTGGGCCTCCCGAAAGCCAAGCACAGCAACTGCAACGTGATTCTTGTGTTAGTGCCGGGCAGGGAAGTGATGCGGAGCGAGACACCCCGGGAAGAGCCTTCCCCGCTTCCCTGTTCACCAGAACGGGCAGAAAACAAAATAATTTAATCATCCAACCCCTGCATAGTTTAAAAGTACAACATATATACAGCTATAAATTAATGCTAAATAGATTATGTTTTCTTCTTCTTTTTTTTCTTAGAGTTTTCTTTTATCACCAAATCGTCCGGCTTCTCTCTCCGTTGGCAGCAGAGAAGGGTCTCCTTCTGCTTTGCAGCTTCTGCAGTTAGTTTGGGTTCCTTTACACTCCACGTGTCTGTTCCAGGGGCTGTGGGGTCCCAGAGCACGCTGGGGTGACGGGAGGGGAGGAGGAAGTTGGGCAGCTGAGGGTCCTGGCCCAGTTGCTGCCCGAACGGCAGAGAGAGGCAGAGAGAAGAAAGAGGGCAGTTGTGCGTTGCTAATTCTCCAATTCCATTTTTTTAAGATAAGGTTTGATTCTTTTAAACAGTAAAGTCTGTCACACCTCGGCTCAGTGCACTTCACCAAAAGTCTTCAGGCATTTCAAGAGGCTGGGAACAAAAGCGGGAGCGGTGTCAGTCTCCGGGCACTCGCACACCGTCACTCCCCCTTCCTTCCCCACCCCACAGCACAGGCAGCAGCTTTTCCAGGCTCCTTACAGACCACGGGGTGCAGGGAGGGAGTTAAAGAAAAGCAGGTAATTAACACCAGCCTGTGGCAAAAGGAGAGGCGAAGTCATCCAAACAAGAGAACGGGAGGACCAAGATAAGAATGGATCCAAAACCAGGATACACCAAAAAAAAAAAGCTGAACGTGGCCCAGAGGATTTGCTTTAAAGGCCAAACTCCCAGATGCCAAGGAAAATAAACCCCAAAACTGCAAATCAAGCAGCTCAATGACCAGCGTCCTCAAGGAGTCCCTCTGAGTCGAAATGGTGTCCGTACCACACCTGGTACAAGCTTCATCTTTTTCTACAGAAACCCTGTTTTCAAATAATTTTGGGATAGAGGGACCTGCAGGTTTCACTGCCCACACTACCTGGTAGGCAAAATCAGCCCAGAAATTTAAGCAGAAAAAGGACTGCAAACCCTGTGCCAATTTCTTTTTCATTATTTTAGTGCAGCACATCCGGTCTCACATCAGGGCTCTCTTAATCCAAGCTCTCCAACCCCTAAATCTTCCAGACCTACCCCCTCCTTAGCTGCTTTTATTTGGATTCCCAGTTTAACCAGTAAGTTACTTCTACAACCTGCTGGGAATTCTGGCCATTTGCTTTGCTCTCCTTAAGCATCAGGGGAAGGCAACTGTGGGGGCAGGAACATCTGTTGGGTGGGACTCCGTTCCCCGTCATCACATTCACGTGCCAGGGATAACAGCTTTTCCAGTAAAACAGGCAACAAAGCAACCAAAAAAGGGTTCATTAAAACGTGGAGGCTGGATGCCACGGCTGGCAACAAACTGCCAACCAGCCAAGGGGCTCCCAACCTCACCCAGGGATCCCGGAGAGCCAGCACTGACAGCACCAGAGACAGCAGGGACGGGGAGAGCCGAGGGTGCCAACATGCAAACTAAACCAAATCAGCATCTTGATTAAGGGGTGAAGGCTCGGTGCAGGGGGTGCTTCCCGCCCTGTGTGCATCCCAGGAGACTCGTGGAGGTCTGTGTCTCAGCCAGGGATTTGAGTGTTAAAAGCACTACGGTGGTTCCCGGGGCAGCTCGTACTTGTGCTGGTGCCGAGCCGTGACTATCCGTGCAGGGAAGCCTGGACGTCTGACAGTCTGCTACAGCTGGGGGTGCCCATCTTCTGTGCCCGCTGGTACAGGTCCGAGTCCCCGAAGTAGCGTGCCCGGTACAACAAGCCTTCCTCTGCACGAGGAAAAGCCCAGCGTTAGGAATTCCGCCCGGGATGAGACCAGTCACCTGGCCCCGGCCCCCCCACGGGCTCTGCTGGGAATGGGAGGCACCTCCAGCGTCCAGGGCGAGGTGAAACACAGGATGAGGCTGAGGAAATGGCCCTGTGGGACAGGATGGGCGTCAGAGCTGCTGACAGCTCATCCATCCTGGGAAAGCCTCCGGAGCCTGGCGGGACCGGCCCCCGGCCCCAGGGGGCACACAAAGGTTACCCCAGCACATCGGTCTCACCTGGCACCACCCAGGGCTCCAACGGCCCCTCCGGTGCTCCAGGCACTGGAATCCTACCCCGGCCACAGCTGTGGCCATCACATGCTGGGAATGGGCAGCCAGGGAAGACAGGCTGCCCCTGGGATCGCTGCCCTGGCCACACTGTGCTGCCAGGATCATCTGTCACACCACCCCTCCCAGTCCCACATGCCCCCACAGCCCTCGCAGCAGGGCTGGGATGCACGACACCACGGGCAGCAGACTTTTCCACACAGTCCTTGGAGAACTGATCCTAGAACACATCCTAGAGGCCTTTTCCAACTTAAGTGGTTCTATGATTCTACCTTCCCCCTCCACTGGAAATCAGAGATATCCTGCTGACACGGCAGGGGACCCTCCGGGGCACAGCTCCTGTCTGACCAGTTCTACAGCAGCACTAAGAACCAAACCAAAACAAAGCAAACCCCACGTACTGGGGCTGTCATGAAGTCACAGACCGAAAAAAACCCAAGCCAACAACACAGGAAATGTGCTGGCACCGTGTTAAAGTACAACTCTGGCACAGACCCTCCGTTCCTGACCCCCCACTCACTCTGCTGCTTCTCTTTCCAGCAGTTATTCCGGAGGTTTGCTATGTAGTCGTCCTCCACGCTCCGCTCCACGTTCTTCAGGTTCGTGCCCGTGTACTCGTCTGCAAAGTTCTCAGAGACGTAGTAGGGGACTTTCAAGTGCTCTGTGACTCTCCTGTGTATGTGACCCACAGACCTGGTCCAGGGAGAAGAGCAGAACAGTGTAGGATACGCTCCAAGGGCACAGCAAAGCCCCCCAGCTCTTTGTAACGCACAGCGTGACGTGATTCCAAACCGCTGGAAACATCCCTCACTCCCAACCAGCCCCAGGGAAAGGAAAAGCATTTCTGGTGGAAAGGAACTGCCAACACAGGGAGAGAGAAGCTGCCAGGCCTCCAGCTCGGCAGGCAGAGCTCTGAACGCAGACATGGCTCCGAGGCAGATTGCCCAGGGCCTAAACCCACTTAAAATAAAGTGTTCTCCAGGATTTTCAGCACTAATTAACTCTCTCCGCAATTTCCTCCGCTCACAAAATTAGACCCGCTCTGCACCAACCAGCACAGAGAGCACTTTCCAGAAGGAAATCTCTTCCTCCCCTGGCCCTGTTGATGTGCATTTTAGACAAAGCCCTGACATTCCAGCAAACCTAGAGATCTTCAGCGGGGCGTGTGGGAGCTGAACACGGGACCTGCGCCCAAACACTGCATTTGTCAGGAACGGCTCCACCTGGAGACATGCCCCAAGTTCCCCATAATAATAAATACCAGCTGGCTGCTGCATTTAAAAGCCAACCTGATTCTTAAGCCAGGTATAAACATTAACTCATCTGGGTCGCCCTTCAGTCTGTTATCAGGGTTTACAGGAGTGATTCAAAGACTCCTGCACGTTTCACCAAGGTCCAGCTCTTGGGGATGAGCAGTGGGTATCCAGATGGCCTCAACAGGAGCAAAAAGCGCCCCTGGGATTTTTCAAGGCAAAGGTGCAGCCTGGGAGAACCCAGCTCACTATGTGAGCTGTGAAGGCAGAGCCCTGAGCTCCCCCAGAGTTCATACTCCTGTGTAAAATGAACTACATACAGAGCATGTCCTCACGGGAGGAGGATTGAGGCTGGCAGAGCTACAGCAGCGTGTTTGGGTGTAAAGCATGAAAATAAGGGCACAGGGAACCTGCCACCTGCAGTCAGACGTGTCATTAAGTGGGGTAAGTCCCACGAGGTGTTACTGAAGAGCAGGGTGGCACAGCCAGGCCCGCAGCCAGGCAGCTCCTCCAGCAGGAAGCTGCTTTTTGGGAAGAGATTTACAAAGGTCACGGAGTGACAAATGGTTCTTTAGGACTCTGCCCTCCTCAGTGACAGCTTCACTACGGAGAAGTGGCATTAAAATCACGGGGTTCGACGCTTCTGGCCTCCTGCTCGCCGAGCTCAGGCACACGTTTCCCTTCCCAGCGGCAGCACAAGCTGCTGGGAGCGGTCCAGCAGCTCCTCCTGCCGGCACGGCACCGCCTCGTCCCAGCTGGACTGCCCTGGTCGCTCGGGAGGGATGAGGGAGGACTGGATCAGCCCATTTGCCTCCCTTGTCCAAATCCAGACTTGGAGATTGGGTTGCTTGCTGCTACCCCAGCATGCAGAGACAGGGACAGCACAGGGAACAGGGAACAGAGCAGCAGAGAAACATCTGGGGCTCAGGGATGGCTTTCCTCTGGCAGCTGGCAAGGCTGGAAGCAAATCCCTGCCCAACTTCAAAACTGCCCTCCCCTGAGTGTCTTCTCATCCCACAAACTCTTCACCAGTACAATCCAAACTGGTATATATGTAATGCTTAATTTTACAGTCCCGATACCAACTGCAGAAATCACAGCTCAACCCTCTCAGAACAACCCTTAACTGTGCCAAAGCCACTCCATCTTTTGGTTCCAAGCACTAATGTCACAGCCTTTACCCTGAACCCGAAAGCTAAGCTGGCTTTTATAGTATTTAACATCATGCCCCACCCCTGGAAGTGTTCAAGACCACAAAGGACAGGGCTTGGAGCAACCTGGTCTAGTGGAAGGTGTCCCTGCCCATGGCCAGGGGTGGAACAATATAATTTTAAGGTCCCTTCCAACCCAAACCCTTCTGAGATTCTGTGATCAATGGCAAACGTTGCTACCTGTGAAACCAAGCAGGAACCCTGGTCTGTAACCAAGCCTGCCCTCTTTAAATACACATAAGGAACTTCCACTGAACATACATTAAGCTTTTGTTAAGGATGATGCAAGCAGCCAGAAATCAGGCCTGTTTTCCCACTCTGCTGTCACTGCAAAGTGACTAAGAAGAAAGACTCATTCCTTTTGTCAGCCAAGTGAGCAGACGGGGCATTTCCACAGGATCTAGAATGAAACAGTTTCACTTTTGCATTGTAAATATCTGGCCACTATTTCATGGCAAGATAAGAGTTCAAAAACAGGGCATTTCTCTGGGAGTGTCTTTTATTCCTCTACAGGAAGTAAAGGCACTCTACAGGAGTGCCTTTTATTCCTTCCTCTCTTCCTCTGCTGCTTTGTACTAGGTATAAACTGAGGCTTTTATGAAGAACAGATCTGGCTTTTGTTTTTCCCTGCCCAATTTAACTCTACACCTCAATTTGTTCTAGATATGGGATCCTGGTGCCGGGCTGGAGCCTCCCAAGATCATTTTGCCTGTCCCTTTCCAGGAGGACACAGCCAGCTGTGGGTAAGGGCTGCAGAGGGTCCCTGTCAAAGAACTCCCTTCTCTTAGGGAAGTGAGAAACCTCTGCCTCTTCCATTTCACACCTGTTTGAGAACCAGGAGGCCTACACTGCTGTGTGAGACAGCTGGCAGCAAGAGCAAGGGGTCAGGAGAGAAAGCAACAAACCAAAGGAAAACAGGGAAAACAGAGAGCGGAGATTCCTGCCCCCCACACCTCCCCAGAGCCCCCTCCCCGTGTGGGAGAACAGGTACTGACGGCCTGTGGCTCAGACTGTAGGGTGGGCTGGACACCATCATCTGGCTGAGGGCAGACACAATGATCAGGATGAGGATGGGCATCAGCTGGACAAACAGCCCCAGGCCACCCTGCGGGAACAGAAACACACATTGCAGTGCCAATCCACACCCTTGGGCCCCAGGATCCCACAGTGCAGTGCCAATCCACACCCCTGTGCCCCAGGATCCCGTAGCACCACTCTCCCTCCCTCCCAGTGCTCGGACACAACCTCCACTCTCCTGCTTTTCACAGGCACTTGGCTCAGGAGTAACTCAAAATAACTGGGGGGAACCCAGCAGCACACTGGGCACTGTGACTCTGAAGGTCCAAAGCCACTGGATGTGACAAAGGGCAGAGGGGACTGGTAGGAGGAACCTTGTGAGGGAAATCCAGAAGCCTCACGCCCATATTTTGTTTTTCTAGAGTTTTTGCTAGTGAGCAGGACTGGTTTTATGGAAAGCCTTCTCCCCTTTCCAGTGGTGGATAAAAGCAATTCCCTCTCTCCCTCACCTCCTGAGCTCCCTCCAGTTCCAGCAGCATACACTCTCCCCTTTAAGCTTGGGAAAGAAATATTCAGGAAGTTCTTGTTTGTTTGTTTTTTAAAAATAAAACTGGCTATCCCCAGAAAACCCTGACTCCAGCTTTCTGTTCGGGGGGTGGCAGAGAGCAGCACCGTTTCCCAAGCCAGCCACAGCAAACAGCTCCCAGTTCATGTGCTGGGAACACCTTCAGCCTCCCAGCCCCTGGTTTGTTGTCTACTTACATCCCCCTGGTGCTCCCTCCTGTCCTGCCTCTGGTGGTAGGTGTATCTCATCCTGCCGTTGCTGTACACGTGAACGTTACCTGCAGGCAAAGAAAACTGTCACACCTAAGTCACAGCGGGGAGGGTGGTGCTGGCTGCCAGCAGGGAACCACAAAAGGTGGCCATGATCCACGGCACTTGCTGAAACAGGAGCATTCCTGAGGTGTACCGAGTGCAAACAGAGTGGGCACAGAGGTATTTCTGTCAGATTTTGCAGAATCATATGAAAATTCAGGTTGGTGGTGACCTCAGGAGGTCCAACCTCCTGCTCAGAGCAGGGTCAGCTACACAGAGAGAGCACCTTGTACAGGCCTCCTCTCTTCTCACTGAACTGCCTTTAGACTAAACCCAATTACAAACAGAAATAATTCTGGTATTTTTTCCACCCTGAAAAAAAAGCTCATCCATGTCTTGTTTTAAATATCAAAGCTACAGCTGCAGAGGGAGCCTGGCTGAGAGAGCAGCTCCGGATTCCCTCGGGACAGTGAGGAGAGGGAAAAAAAGACTGAGCCAAAATAGCAATGTGCTGGTTTTGCTGGAGCAGCTTGGCCTCTCTGCCAGGCAGAACACCAATGCTGCAAAAGGCTTCCAGATGCCTGTCATTGGTGTTGGTGTGTTAATCCCCACACACTGGACAGGAGAGAGCTACCAGAGTAAATCTTCTTCACTGAAACCAAATTATTTCTTTTTTAAGTTGGTCCACAGAGATCAGATAACCCTTGTCTCCACTGCCAGTCAGATACAACCAGAGCAAGTACAGGGGAGTCTTCCAAAAGAAGACCCTTGTCCTGATGTGAAATCTGTGTCTTCCTGACTGGAACTGAGCAAGTGAAGGAACGGGCACTCAGTTCTTTTCTGCTGTCCAAGCCACGATGAGTATTGTGGATAGACAGGATGCAGACTTCACTCTCAGTTCAAGGGGTTTAAATTGTGCTGTAGAAATACACTTTCCTTTTATGGGACATGGGGGAGAGTAGGAAGTGGCCACTGATCTCACAGAAACTGCTCCAGCTGCGTGGTAGAGCAGATAGAGATCAGGAGCCAGGCCCAGGGTTTGCTCTGATACGAAGATTTAACTTCTGAAACCACCAGGCAGAAAAGCCTTCCTCAAAACAGGATTATTTTTACAACAAGCCTTAAAACAAGTGATTTTTTGTTCTAACATCCAACCCAAGCCAGCAGCAGCTAATGCTGCCAGCCATGCAAACAAACACCTGAAGCTGGGAAGGAGTCCAGCTCTCATGGCATTTCCTGCTGGATGCCGAGTTCTCCAAGTACCCACCTGAACAACTTAAAAACCTCGAGGTGTTCAGTTCGTGGCTGAAGGAGAACCCTCTCCCATCAGGCTCAGCAATCCCTGGACGGCCAAATAAATCCCTACTGCGCTGCCACTCTGCCACAGCATCGGGCCCCGCTCAAGAGATTAAGGTTTATGGTGCTTACTAGAGGGAAAACCACCACCAAAAAACATGTTGAAGAGGTCCTCGGGGGAGATGTCGGCCTCAAACCCGCGGTGGAAGTCGGAGTGGCTGTGCCCATGGCGGGCAGGGTTGAGTTTCTCGTCTCCAAACTGGTCATACTGCTTCCTCTTCTCCGGGTTGCTCAACACGGCGTACGCGTTCCCGATGGCTGCAACAGGGACAATAAGGAAGCAATTAGCTGCTCTCTCCTGCACATAATACCTTCAGCCCTGCACACTGCCAGGGCTCGCCTTTCTCCTCACACAAATGAGATTCTCAACTACCCACGTCTTTTCAACGGGCCACTGATGACCTGGCACACGGCGCTGGCAAAGGCAGACGGGAGGAAGCCACAGCAAGAGACTCGATGAAAAATCCCTTAATTGATTCGAATGAAGGAGTTATGATATGACTGATATGAATTCGGTGCGTGTCCTTAGGGAAACCCTTCAGCTGTAACCAACTGTTACAGGGAAATAAAACTGCAGTTGACAAATTTTATTCAAACGTGGCATTAGGGGAATTCAGTGTCGGAGCCCGAAACCAGAACTGCAAACAATCTAAATGTGGGCCAGATCACTGAAAGAGACTTTAAAACTTTCCATGAAAGCTGGTAGGGAAACATTAGCTAGAAGTTGTGTCTGTCAGCTACAAATTTCAAAATTTCCAGATGCCAGAGTTAAGGTGCATAATTACAAGGACTGTTAACCAGTGCCTGTGACGGTGGAAACGAACTGGAACTGAAGTCCTGCCAGTTCCCAGAGCTCCTCTCCTTCCAGCCTCGGCAGTTTGAGCCCTTCTCCCAGAACACCTGCCTGCCACCCTCCTATTTCTGTACTTCCCTCTTGACATGTTCCAGTTTCCCACTTCCCCTCTGCACCAACCCACCCGAGAGCCTCCCTGTGTCACAAGGAGCCAAAATGCCCGTGGCAGCGGCTGCCTGGGGTGTGAAGGACAGGAGCAGAAGGGATAGAAAAGGGAGATTCATGCCCTTTTGGAGGAGATCAACTCCAAGATTCAACATTTTCCCCATGGTCAGATGGAGGTGTACGGTTTCCTCTTGGACTAGAGACTGGGAGTGTGGAGGATGTAATGTCAATACACTTCTTCTCCTTCTTGGTTATAATTAGTGCACACAGAGCAAACAATCCCAGAGCCAGGCAGGGAAGCTGGTGGACAAGGAGTGACTCAGAGTGTATGAACCACACAGCTTGAAAGAACCAGCCAAGCAATGAGAAGAGAGCGCTGCAGGGTTTGTTCACTGTCTGACTTTGTGCTGACAAAGCCAAGAAACGCCTCATTCCAGATCAGGATTTTAGCTCCAAGTAACCAGGTTCATCTCTTTTCTTCCAGCATCAGACAGGCAGTGATGCAAATCTGCCACAGGTCAGGCTGCAGCAAACTGCAACTATATAACCTGAGACATGGGCTCAGGACAAGACACTTTATCAGCAGCCACTGGGGAGGCGACTGCCAAGACTTCAGGTAATACATCAACATAAGAAAAAATTAACTAATACCCTCACTGCAGTGCAGCCTCCCCCTTCACCCTCTGGAACCAAACAGCTGGAGTTCAGCAAGCTGGGAGCTCAGCTTGGGGGCTGAAGGACAGGGAGCCAAGGAGGCAAGGCCTGGAGGAGATAACCCACGAGCAGAGAGCTCTGCAGCAGGGGATAAAGGGCACCTTGCTTAACACACCACTTCTGGCACGTAACTCCTGTCAGAGCCCTCTGCAAACATCATTATTGGAGATTACAGGTGAGGAAACCTGCCTTTTGCCTAAGCAGGGATCCAAGGATGAGCCACTGAGCAGCTGTACCTGTCTGCAGATGCTCCTTCATCTGCCCCCCACACCACACAGGCTCTCCCAAGTAGCTGGGGGTCAGCTCACTGTTTGCTAACACTTATCAGGTAAGGATTTAAGTCTTAAAAGACTTGAACAAACCTTACATAAGACTTTTACTGCTGAATTCATGTCTGCAAGGAGCTCACCCCAATACTGTATCAGTGCACTCACACCAGGCCAGCCTTGCTCCCTGCTCCAGCAGGAGCCTCATGCATTTCACTCCCCAAATCCCAAATCTTTAAGGGACCTTAAAGACCACCTAGTCCAACTCCCTGCCATGGGCAGGGACACCTTCCACCAGCCCAGGCTGCTCCAAGCCCCGTCCAACCTGGCCTTGGACACTTCCAGGGATCCAGGGGCAGCCACAGCTTCTCTGGGCAACCTGTGCCAGGGCCTCCCCACCCTCACAGGGGAGAATTCCTTCCTAGAAAATGGCCAGAATCAGACCATCTTTGTGGCTTTAACACCACAAAACCAGTGCTGTGCAGCTGGTATCAGAGGGTTCTACATTTAGGTCAACAATAAGAATCAAACCTCCACAGCTTGCAGGGGAAAATGGGGTTATATGTTCCAAGCATTGGACATGTCCCATGTCTTGGAAAATTACTCCAGTTTTAAGGTATCTTATTACCCAGGAAACGTTCCTGCTGCATTTGCAGAGAGGCCTTGAGAATGGGGCTCTTTGCAGCAGAACTGGAGCTCCTGGTGACCTTTTTTGAGTTCTGGCTGGGCTCAGTTACACCCCAGAAACTTCCACGTGGGATTCCTATCCACCAATTCCATCCACAGCCTTTCACAATGGTCAGGTGCTTCCCAGAATGTTTCTCTCAAGGGGTTCATGAACCCAAGAGCTGCCTCTGGTGCTGCACAACTCACTGGGTCTCTCCTGGGTTTGCCAGTAGACAGGGGTGCACCCAGAACCTGCAGGACTTGGGGCTTCTCCCTGCTAAGTGAACACTCCTGCACCTCTGCAAAAAACCAGGATGGTTCACATCCTGAGGGGATTCCCTTCTGAGTAGCGTGGCAGGAGGCTGGAGCAACACACAGGAAGGGCTGCTGGGAGAAAGGGAAGGAAGGCTGCTCCCTGTCCCACCAGCAGAGGCAAATCCTACCTGCACCAACCTGTGCTTATTATTTTAAGCTTATACTTCGTTCATGATCCAGCTCCAAAGAGAGACAACTTCACAAAGAGCAGCTTGATTTCACTCCACCCGACCTGGGAGGTTGTTTTTAGGAGCTGTCACTAGCCCAGCTCGGTGCCACTGCCTGACAGTGGGGGTCAGATCCCAAATCTGGAGGTGCCTTTACCTTTGAAGGCCTCGGTGGCCCCCGGCGCGTGGTTCTTGTCCGGGTGGAACTTGAGCGCCAGTTTCCTGTAGGCCTTTTTCAGGTCCTCGTCAGAAGCTTCTCTGTTGACTCCCAGAATTTCGTAGTAGTCTTTGCACTGCTTTACCCTGCCAGAGGAGAGGGGAGAAAACGGGGAGTGTGAGGAGTGAGAACCCCTCTGCCCTGAGCGCGTGGGCTCTGTGACACCACGGCCTTGGTGTCACGCGGGGACCTCGCTCAGGGCCCTCGGGGTCACTCAGCCCTCACAGGGTGATCCAGTTGTTTTCAACAACTCGTTCCGGGTGTGACAAACACTCCCACGGAACGAGTCGGGCCAGTAGAGGTGGAAGGGCCTCTCCTCAGGCCGGGATATCACCCGCAGAGGAACGGGACCGGCAAATAAACCTCACGCTCATCACTCTCACGTTTTGGAGGCTCTTTGGGAGGGACTACAGGATCTGGGGGATATCTGGGCTTATTGGCATTTTCCCCTTCCTCTCTCCTCAGCTAATTCACAGACCTAAAACTAACAGCTGAATTCCAGAGGAGGAAGGAGGGAGCTGCCCAGGGTGTGCAGTCCAGTTCCTCCTGGGCACACTCACAGCCCAGCCATGGTTTCTGCTTCTCACGTGACTCATCTGAGACAGAATCCAGCAGGCCGGGTTTTTGGAGAAGTGGATGATGTAAGAAACCTCCCTGCAAGTCCCTTAGAGTAGTTCTTGTGCAATCCAGGCCGTGCCCATAACCTCAAAAAACATTTAGCAAGTGACTGTGCCTGCGGATCAGTCCTTCAGCTTCCAGGATGTGCAAATGGTAGAAAGGAATAAAGGAAAGCTTGAAACAGGGTTTGGAAAACGGGCAGACCCAATTCAGCTGCCTCCCAGGGCTGCTGGAGCTATAAATCCTCCTGGGAGTGCTTTCAACACCACTCCAGGTGGTTTCAGAGCTGGACTCTTTAGAACACTGTGAAAACCAGAGCGGTGCCACACGATAAAGCCAAACAAACTGCCCCAGAGAGCTGCTCACACACCTCTTCACTGCATCCACCTGGTCCTGAGTGTAGCCCTTGGGGGCCTCCCCTCCGGCCTCTCCGTTGGCTGACGGGAAGTCCCCGCTCATTTTCCTGAAGGGAGGGTTTGTGGACTCCCTGGACTGGGACTGCCCATTGGCCGACTGCTCGCTCTTGTTGAGGGACTCCAGCAGGACTGCAACGAGGAAAAGGGAAAGAATAAAGAAAAAAGAAGTTAAGAGACCATCAAGTTCAATCTGCCCCTCCAGCTCGACCGTGAAGAGACCCCTCTTCATCTCTGCCACTGCTCTGAGACCCCTCACCCTTCCTCAGGAAGATCCCCACCCTTCCACCCAAGGGACCCTCCAGCTCCTGCTGCTTCTTGCCCAGATGTGCTGAAGAGATTCCCTGCTTCTCCCAAAGCACACAGCCTGCATAAAAACCCCAGGACTACCCAACCAGACAGTCCAGGAGCCACGGTGGATCACCAAGGTGGTGCATCCTTGTCCTTTTTCCCCCCCTACATCTCTCCTCAGCAGCAAAGCATGCCCAAATTTGTCCTCTAGCATATTATAAAGCGTATTACTCCTCTTTATCTCCTCCTTTTGAGAGTCTGCTGTGCTGGGGAAGTGATGTGACAATGGTGTATCTTCAGAGAGCTTAGGGAATGATTCCGTGGGATGCCAATCCCACAGGGACACTCCCCCTTTCTGGGGACAACTGCAGCACTGGTGGCTGCCAGCACGACAGGCCCCGTCACACCACTCACACTTTGTTCTCCTCTCTTACCCACACACCAGGAGCAGCTGGGAAAACCATTTTCTCTCCTAATTACTGAATAGGAGTTGCAGAAATTCACTTTCCCTTTGCTTTTCCTCCTCACAAGGCTCAGGCACTGTCCCCCATCCTCTTCAGCCAACAGGGGACAAACACCCAGGCCTGGCCTAACCACACAGGAGACACAGCCGAGGCAGACTCCAAGCATGGAATATCTTTCCATCATCCCTGGCACCTGGATAGCCACTATTTTTAAAATCTGACTGATTTCTTCATCAAAAAAACCAGGCACATGTACTATGATTAAACCCAGACATATTATTTACAGAAGCCTCAGTATCCTGAGCTTGCAGTCCTTTATCCAGAGCCCAGAGCTGGGAAGGATGTTCCACCTCCTCCCATGGATTGCACACTACAGACCTTGCACTATGGGGGTATCACCTTCTTAAAGCCAGTGCAAACAATGCTTGCAGGCCAAGAGATGAGCCACGATATCCAAGATATGCTATCTGCCCCCAGAGCTTGGAGGGGCAAGAAAAATCCACTCCGTAATCCAAGAGCCAACAGGGGATGAGGGATAAAAATGACAGTGGGGGAACGAGCAGTAACTCACTGGGTGAGCTTTTGAGCTTGGGGGTTTCACTAATGTAAAAATAATTTATTTCAGAAAAATAAATCCTTCCCTCCCTCGTATTCACACCACTGCAGCATTCACAGAATCACAGGCTTGGCTTTTGCTCCTTCCAAACCTGGAGCTTTTAAATTACCCCTCACAAGGCTGTTCCTCCCCTCACCCCCTGTTCCTGCTGCTTTGGGCTCAGTTCCCCACAGCTTGCCAAGAGAATTTTAGAGTCACAGAATGGTCTGGGTTGGAAGGGACCCTAAGGATCATCCCATTCCCCCCCCTGCCATGGGCAGAGACACCTTCCACCAGCCCAGGTTGCTCCAAGCCCTGTCCAACCTGGCCTTGGACACTTCCAGGGATGGGGCAGCCTGTGCCAGGGCCTCACCTCCCTCACAATGAAGAATTTCTTCCCAATATCCCACCTAAACCCACAGTTTGAAGCCCCTGGGACCATCCCAGCACTGGGAGGTTCTGTGTCCCAGCACACACGGCCGGGGCACGTTGAGCTTGTCATCAACCACCACCCCAAAGTGCACTTCCCAAATGCAACCAGAGAAATCCATGGATGGCCACAGCACAGCTCCACTTGGCTCTGCAGCCCCAATCCTATTGCTCCTGCACCCCAAAGCCAGGCTGGTGCCCTGTGCAGCCCCAGCACAGCCCAGATCCATGGGCTCCTGGGGCGGACAGAGCTGAATTAGTTTTCAGTTCTGCCACCTCAGCTCCGCTTTTCCTCGTTTATCAGCCAACATTTGTCCAACAAAACTTCCCCAACTCCCACTCTGAGGTGACTGGGGCTGCGCTGACACAGAGGGTTTTTGCTGAAATCCCCTTGCAAAACCCTCCCCTGGCCCCGTGACGACACCAAAGGCCCAGCTGAGGTCAGGGTTTGCAGCTGCACAAGGGCCACGTCGCTGAGTGTTGCCAAACCCCCTGGAACTCGTGGGAAAGAGCCTTCCCAGGAGCTCTGGAGACTCAGTGACCTCTGTGGAACCGCAGGATGTACGGCAGCATTTCCCAACTCCAGACACAAAGGGTCCTTGGATGTCAGACTTGGTTGGGGCTGGCCACAAATTACCACGTTGTGTTTAACATTAACCTGCCCCTGCTGCCCCCCCCCGGCCTCTGCCTTCCTCCAAAAGTCACTTTTCCTACGCAGTAATTTCACAGAAGTACAAATTCCGAGGAAAGGAAGGGCAGGGAAACCATGCTGCACACACAACTGGCTGACACACCGTGTTTGGGGGAGCAGGAAGAGGCCTGGAGCAGCCAAAAGGAGCATTACAGGAAGCCCTGGGACACACAAGCTGCCAAGCTCAGCCAAAAATCCAAACTCAGATGAGATCAAAGTGAAAAAAAAATAAACCCACGGCCCTTTGTATAAATTTCCGCAACGTCAGAACAGGCAGGGAAAGGATTGTGTTTGGCTGCTTCCAAAGACCACTTCCCACGTTCACTAAAGCTTCCAGGAAGCGAGATCCTTCCTCAAAACTCCGAAGGCCTTCAAGGAGGAGGATTATTCTGTTACACATATGAGGGTGTGAGCTCAGCGTGGCCTGTCTGTCTGGGAACGGTGGGAAACTGCTGCAGGAGGAACAGGAGAGGGAGAGGAGGAGGAACATGATGAGGGAAGTAGGAGGAACAGGAGAAGGAACAAGAGAGGGAGAGAAGAATAAGAGGAAGAGATGAGGAGGAATACAAGGAGAAGGAATAAGAGGGGGAGAGGAGGAATAAGAGAGGGAGGGGAGGAATAAGAGGAGAGGAGGAATAGGGGGAAGAGAGGAATAGGAGAGGGAAAGGAGGAGGAGAAGAGGAGTAAGAGAGGGAGGAGAGCAATGGGAGCAGGAGAGGAATAAGAGAAGGAGGAAAGGAACAGGAATAAGAGGAGAGGAATAGGAAAGGAGAAATAGGAGGGGGAAAGGAGGAACATACGGAGGAGACGAATAGGAGGAGAGGAGGAGGACGAGAGTAATAGGAGGAGGAGAGGAATAGGAGTGGGAAAGAGGCATAGGAGGAGCAGAAGAGAAGGAGAAGGGTGAAAGGCTTTCCGCAGCCCCCCGAGAACTTCTCTCCCGCCTTGCCAAGCCCCGCAGCGCTGCTCCCACCAGCCCGGTGTCAGGGATCCAGGGAGCTGCCAGGGTGCCCCTGCCCTGCCCGGCACCCTCCTGCCCGGGCCCCAGCGAAGGTGAGGGGTGGGTGCCGGGCAGTGCCGCAGCCCGGGGGTCACCGGGACCCCCGACCCCGCCGGGCCCCGCCACACTCGCTTTCCCAGCGTGCCCCGCGCGGACTGCGCAGGCGCGGTGCGGGTGAGAGGTCAGGCCCGGCGGCGGCCGCGCAGGCCGCGCTCCCCCCGGGCCCCCCCGCCGCGGCCCCGGCCCCGCGCTCACCGCGGACCCGCTGCGAGGGGTACAAGCGCTGCGCTTTCTCCAGGAAGCGGCGGGCCTTGTCGGGCTGGTTGGCCTTGGCGGCGGCCAGCGCGATGCCGATGCACCGCTCCGCCTCGTCCCGGTTCGACTCCATGGCGGCGGCGGCCGGGAGGGGGGGGGAAGGCAGCGGGGCGGGACCGGGCGCGGGGTGATGACGTCACCAAGCCCCGCCCGCGGTGGGGCGGGGCCTTGAGGGACATTTTGGGCGGGGGAACCTCCGGGGAGACAAATTGGGGCGGACGGGGAGAGACAGGAATAAAGAGATTGGGGGATACGGGGATAGAGGGACTCGGCGGGACGGGAATCCCCCCCAGCCGGCTCCCCCCCTCCTCCCCAAAAAGGGCACCCCCGGCCCCCGGTGCAGGAGGGGAGGATTAACCCCTTCAGGAGTTCTCTCAGCTCAAGTTTCCTGCCTTTTAAACAGCTCCTGGGGCTCCAGGGACTGTGCCTGGAACGGCGGAAGGAAGGAGATGCTGAACAGGGAGGAGGCTGCTCTGGGCTGCTCCATGGATTCAGTCCCACTGGGGGTGGAGCGGCCTCAGTTTAGTTCCGAAGGAGAGAGCGGTGGTATTTCCATGGAGCTGTCCATGGGAGCACAGCCCCTCCTGCAGACAGGGGGGCAAACCTGCACCCCCAGCTCGTGGCTGCGGGTTGTGACATGTGTGAGACATGGGACCCACACCCGAGTGGAGCAGGGAAATGAGGGGAGGAAGGAGTTGACAGTAGATGGAATGATCTCTAACAGCAGGATCAATATCCTAGTATGAATCATGGAATGGTTTGGGTTGGAAAGGACCTTAAAGCTCATCCAGTCCCACCCCCTGCCATGGGCAGGGACACCTCCCACTAGCCCAGGTTGCTCCAAGCCCCATCCAGCCTGCCCTTGGACACTTCCAGGGATCCAGGGGCAGCCACAGCTTCTCTGGGCAACCTGTGCCAGAGCCTCCCCACCCTCACAGGGAAGAGTTTGTTCCCAATGTCCCATCTAACCCTGCCCTCTGGCAGTTTGAAGCCATTCCCCCTTGTCCTGGCACTCCAGACCCTTAGAAATAGTCTCTCTCCATCCTTCTTCTTGTCTCCCTTCAGGTCCTGGAAGGCCACAGTCAGGTCACCCCAAAGCTTCTCCTCTCCAGGCTGAACAATCCCAGCTCTCCCAGCCTTTGCTCCCAGCAGAGCTGCTCCAGCCCTCTGATCATCTTGGTGCCTCCTCTGGTCTGGCTCCAGCAGCTCCATGTCCTTGCTGTGCTGGGGAAGGAAAGTATTCTAGAGGTGATTTATCCCCTCTGTCTTTCCAGCTCTGGAAAGCCATGGGATTTTTTTTCCCTCCCCTTCCCAAACACTCCATGTCCTGTGCCCCGTTCACCACCAGCCGTGGGTGAAGAGCTGAAGGAACCCAGAGAGACGAGCCACGAGCCACGTGGTTGTGAGCAACACCTTTACAGGACATTTTACAGAGAGGGCAGCACTCAGCAAACATCTGTCAGCACATTCCCGTGACAATTCCCCACAGAGAGGGCTCTCAACTGAGGAAATCCATCAGGGACCTCCTGCAAGGCAGGAAGGGCAGCAGAGCTGGTTGCTCCACCACTTTTAGCTGCTCTTACCCAGAGGCAGCACCTCAGCCTGAGGGGTGCACAGAGTGTTTGGCCATCCGAAATCCTGGTGTGGGATCCAGGAAACCCAGGAATCTTTCCCAGGAGCAATCTAAGAGCAAAGATAACCCTAGTGCCATTTTGCCATAGCATCAATAAAGGTGATTTAGGTTCAGCTTGTGCACCCCTGGCTCTCCCACACAGCACATCACGGGGGTGAGGGCAGTGGAAGTCCTTTCCTTTTTCCTGAGAGAGAGGAATTGCAGGGAGGCAGCAGCAAGCAGAAGCTGCAAATACAACAGGCTGGGATACTGAACCTGGATTTACAAAAACCTCCTGTTATGGACAGCCAGAGCCTGGTGCTGCCCTGCCGTGGTGCCGGGGCTGATCCAGGGAATGTGGGAGCTCCTTCCCGACCCCGCTACTGTTTGGGCGCCGTGAAATCCCACGCTGTCTCCTGGGCACACTTCCACATGGCCCTCATGAGCCGAGTGAAGCCCATGTCCTTGGGCTTCTCCAAGCCTCTCATCAGGCGCTGCTTCATGATGGCAACAAACTCCTTGTTGCTCAGCTCTCCGTTCCCTGTGAGGAGGAGGGAGAATCATCAGGAACCCACCAGCAACCTCCTTGAAGTGAGAATGTTAAAGGGCAGCAGGGGTGTCATTCCCTGCAGAGCACCAAGTCACCTCTGGCTTCCACCTCCCAAAATACCCCGCTGAGCAAGGGTTCCTGAGGCACAGTGTGTAAATCCCAGCCCTCTGGATGCTGCCCTGCTCTGCCTGGCACTGCCACGTCTTGCAGGGCCAGTCTTGAAGGCAGAAAAGCAAATGGCCCACAGGAAACTCTCTGCTTTAAGTAATTTAGGAAATGACAGGAGTGCAGGGTAACAGCACAAATTTTCCTTAATGGAGTAGAAGGGAAGATTCATTAATCTACTGAGGTTATTGAGAATATTGCCCTGGGCAGCAAAGTTCCAGCAAACTATTAAGGAGTCAGGGAAATTCCCTCTGGTGCTGCAGGTTTTTGAGGTGCAGGTGGTAATGTCTGTAAACACTGATGGAGTGAAAACACCAAAATAATAAACAAAAGAGGTCTGTGCCTGCTTTTCCACTTGATTCCTTCCTAGAGGGACTCTTTTGGCAACCCAAATCTTTCCCCTCAAAGGTTTGCTATCAAAACATTTAGCAGATTCTCCTCTGAGGGGATGCAAATGGGGGATATTTGGATATGTTTTGGCTCACTCCAGCCTGATGATCCGGCTTGAAAATCGTATCAGAAAGTGCCACTGAAGCACAGAGGAAAACAAAACAAAAGATGTGACCTTAGAAAGGTGCAAAGCAGCAGGTCGGGGCTGAAACCAAGAGGGACAAGAAGGAGTAAAATAATTAAACATATTTTTTAACGTTCATGTTTATGCACCACCACTGCCACCCAGAGCTGCCAGACCCCAGTGACGGTGCTGGAGGAGCAGGGAGCCAGCAGGCACTCTGGTTTTGGCTGGACAGCTTTGGGCAAAGGCAGAATTTCCTGCTTTCCAAGTCGGAATCGCTGCCATCGTTCCCTGGTGGCAAAGACTGCAGTGAGTCTCATTAAATCAACCCAAGAGTGCTTGAGTGTGGCAACAGACGCCCTCAGAGCGCTGGGGCCAGCAAAGCAACGAGCTTCCAGCAGGGCACAGAGCTGCCACCAATTAATTAAGCTGATATTTGTCCAGGATTTTGGAAATAAGATTCCCAGACCGGCTCGCTTCCAACCCTGGAGCACAACAGCTCCTTTTGTGACACAAACCAGAGTTCTGGGGAGGGGGGAAAGAAGCTGAACCCACCAAACCCCTCCCACCCAGCACTCAGCAGGTGGGTGCCACTGGACACCCTTCCAAAAGTGCAGGAGCATCTCTGCGGATCCCAAAGAGCAGAAGGGCAGTTTTTCCCCCTGGATTTCTTCCCCTGGCTGGCCTCTCCCCCAGCCTGGCCCCGAGCTGGGGTCACTCACCGTCGCAGTCGAAGAGCGCGAACACCACGTCGCACACGTGGTCCGAGAGCTCCACCTTGGCCACCGTCCTGGCCACCTGCTGCATGGTCACTGCAACACAGGGCACAGCACAGCCTCAAAAACAGCCCCCCAGAGCCCCCACCTTCCCCCTGCAACACAGGGCACAGCACAGCCTCAAAAACAGCCCCCCAGAGCCCCCACCTTCCCCCTGCAACACAGGGCACAGCACAGCCTCAAAAACAGCTCCCCAGAGCCCCCACCTCCCCACTGCAACACAGGGCACAGCACAGCCTCAAAAACAGCTCCTCAGAGCCCCCACCTTCCCCCTGCAACACAGGGCACAGCACAGCCCTCAAAACCAGCTCCCTGACACCCCCACCTTCCCCCTGCATCGCTGCCTGGCCGTGGAGGGGCTGCTGGTGAGCATCACCCTGCTGACACCCGGGGGGGCAAGAGAAGTGTTAAAAACCCCCAAGGTGAGATGGGTTTTTTTCCTCCCCCTTTTGGTTACAAAATCAGAAGGAAGTGTCAGCACCACAGCAAGCTCCAAGTGGGAAACCTCTCCTTGATCAACAAGGCAGCTCCTTCTGACAGTGTTGCAAAGGTGATACTCCATGAACCAACTATTCCAGCAGGCTGGGAATAAGAAAAACTGGTTTTCCTGCTGCAACCCAAGGCCAATAAGTGCAGAACGAACCCCTCCACCCTCCCTCAGTGGGCAGCCCAGGTTAACCTTGCCATAAAATAGAGAGTTGTAAGGAATTACTTCCCTTTTCTCCCCTGACTGGTAGTTTTATTCCCACCTCTAGAAAAGAACAGTCCATGGAGCCATCAATCTTGCAGGGTTAGGCAGTGGATTTTGCTGTATAAATGGGGGGAAAAGCCCTCCCTAGGCTGCTGTGAGTGTATTTAAATTGCTTCCCTACAAAGCCTGACCTGAGGAGAGCCCATCTGGAGAGACTTTGTACTGTGAGCCCACAGTGGCTGGGAGGAATGTTCAGCTGCAGAGCTGCCCTGCAGCCAGGGAAAAGAGGGAAGTGGTGCATCACAAGATCAGACTGCAACCCAAAAGAGCCTCTCCTTTCCTCCACAGCATCCTTCTGGGATCGTGCATCCCTCTGCAGAGTTATTGGCCCTTCAGGAATTTTGAACAGTTACGTGTTGTGTGTCAGAAAGGAAAAAATGAGCCTCTCATCTGTACCATAACTGGATTAATTAGAAACTGCATGAAGTGTTTCTAACAGGATTTTTCTTTCATGACTGTGTAGATTATTGGTGCTTTCCACCCCATTTCTGCTCACCTGAGTGAGGTTTGGGGCTTTTGGGGAGGAATCCACACCCACCATCGTGTCCTTTTCCCTTATAAAACCTTTGACTAAACAATGCAGGAGAAAACTGAATTTACACAGAAGTTGGATTTATATATATATATATATCTATATCTATGATCCCTCCTCTTATTCATTTTTCCTGGCTGCAGTTTTCCCAGCTATAACTTGTACTTAGGGGCTGCTGCTTCCTCTTCAATGAATCAAACTGTACAAGTGTCAGCTCCATCATATCACTCTTGCTTGATGCCAAAATTACTTCCCAGGGGTTGTGTGACTGTGCTCAGTAAGGATTGTGTTGGTTTTTAAGGAATCACAAGGAAGGGGGAAGTGTCTCTGCTTTCCATTTTGACACACACACTCCAGACTAGGAGGGAGCTCAGAGAGGTAAATAAAATTGAAGGAAACCTCCCTGTGTAATTTCTTTACCATTTTACAAGATGAAATAGGTGCTACCTGGGAAAACATCTAAAACAAAGCTTGTCCAGATTTGGGGTTCTGGGATGGCTGCATCCATCTCCCCATGGAAAGTCTCCTGCATTTCATGCCAGTGGAAATGAGTTCCACGTTTCTATCTTGAAAGGCTTCTAAAATCCCATGCATTGGTGTCCCCACTGGTCCCTTTAATGAGCCATCTGAGCTATTTTATGCAAGTTTAGTGTCTGACACAGTTAAGTTTTTCCCCACTCCAATTCCCAGAACCACACCATGAGCAATGTCTCACCAAGTGCAGAGCCTTGCCAGATGGCAAACTCCCCTTTTCCCCTCCATCTTGAGATTAATCCCACATTTGGCCAAAATAATGGCCAGCTGGGCTGCTGCCTTTGTTTGCCAAATGGCAGGGGGGTGACAGGAGCAGGGCTCCCTGCCCTGGGCCGTGCCAGGGTGGAAAGGCAGGACACGTGTTTTGGGCTCCCAGAAACCAGCCTCACACTGACACACACATTTCATTTCAAGGACCACAGCTGGAAATGTTGGGTGGCAACATAACCAGCAAAAATCTACTGCACTTTTTTCAAATCACCTGTACATGTACGTGCTGGAGCATCCACCCAGGAGAGAGATGGATAAACCTTATGCAGTCCCGTGGCACGGCACATTTTTCTTTTTATCCTCAAAAATGTGAGGCTGCAGCTGAGGAGAAACTGTTTTGACATCAAAGGGAGCACAACAGAAAGTCAGGGAGATCAGGGAAAAAAGCAGAGCTGACCCACTGTTTGTGTCATATCCACAGGCATAAATATGTAAAGAAAGGAGATTCCTTGGAGATACCCCAAATGTGACTGAGGGTGGCCCAGGGCTGTCTGTGACCCTGTTGGACAGGAGGGTCTCCAGAGGCTCAGCCATCTCCCCTTGCTTAGGCCCATTCCAAGCAAAGTGCATCCATGCCTTGCCCTGCAGCCCAAAGGAGTTATTCCATGGCTCTGGAAGGGCTGCTTGGAGGCACTGCCAAAAAAAGTGCAGTTCACCCCCTGGACTGCAAAGGGAATAAGCACTGAATTCAGCTCCTCTCCTGCTGCCAGCTGTGAGCCCAGGCTGGGGAAGATTTCTAAGGAATGCCTATGATTTAAGGGAATGACAGCCATTCTGTTTCTGGGAAAATGAAAGATGGGCTAACAAATAATCCGTCTGTTATTAAATGGGTCGTTAAAATACAGGTTTATGATCCTTTGAAAAAGAAGAAGAAGTGACTTTAATTCAGCACAGAAAACAGCCTGTCAAGCTCTGGCTGTTTGGTACCATCCAGGCTGTTTTTTTCCTCTTAAATTTTAAACAGTCCTTCTAAAACTATAATAATGTTTGCTGCATTGTTAGCAGGAAATTACTACACAAACTGTCCTCTTCCTCCTCCCCATCCGACCAGTACTTTTTACATTTGTCAGTTTTTAATAAGAAGCCTTGTGAAAGCTTGGCTTTTAGGAGAGCACACCCCATTTATCACTTATTGGGTTTAAATTTGGCTCCCCTTGTGCCTGAGGAAGGTTCCCTCACCCCACCAGACACTCCCACCCCCACGGCTGGAGCTCCAGCACGAGCTCATTAATGGCACCTAATTAAACAGCAATCACACTGATTCACCAACTGCAGGCAGCCCTAAGTTCTCCACAAACATATTCCACAACAGGACAGCTGCTAATTTCCTGCAGACACCGAGTAAATTGGATTTGCTGGGCTGACACCTCCTCATGGGATGCTGCAGAAAGGGCTCAGAGCGGCCCCAGCACACCCAGACTCGGGGGTTTTACTTTGAAATGAAAAAACAAAATCCTACCAGCTTCTTTTAACTTTAAGTCTTAAGGTAACTGTGATATAAAACAAAGAGCACAGATGATTCCCCCCACCAAAAAATTAAAGGTGAGAAGTGCTGCTGACACACCCAAGAAGAGATGTGACACGTTTGACTCCCTCTGTAATTCCACTGCCCAAAAACCTATTAATGCCTCAATATTCCCACAACAGCAGCAGTTGGAATAACTTACTTCTGAAATGTTTAGTTTTGCAGGTGCCTGAATACATCAGCTTTAACTTCCTAGTAAGACAAGAGTTTCCACTTAGCCTAAAAAACTTGTAATGAGTTTGACATCTTTTTTTTATAACCCCAGGCTGAGAGCTTTAAAAAAAAATAATCCAGAAGAGAAACCTGTGATAAATCCTGGCAGCAGAGAGCCAGACTTTGATTTTAAATGTATGGTTTGGGGTGGTTCTTTTGCCTTTTTTTTACACCAGTGTGTCCAATTTGAGAACACAGCTGATACAGAGCAGCTCAGAAAAGGAAACTCACAGTGAGAAGAAGGATATGGATTGGTCTGATCAATAAACCACGTTATTGCCAAGCTCCCCAGGAAACACCAGCTCTGAGGTTTAATCAGCTCACTCCTCTGGCCACACACACAGACTCTGGACAGGCTTTAATGCTCAGTCTGGGAGCTCAGTGGGGTTCCAGTGCTCCCCCTCCTGCCCTCCAGCACACCTGGGAGCTCCAAAGCTGCCACTACTTGGATTCCCCATCAGGAATGCAGCTTCTGGCCACACAGCCCTTATTTCTAGGCAAAGCCTCTGATTTTTGAGCAGAGCTGGAACAAATCAAGGTCTGAGCAGTTCCTGCCACCAACCCCACTGCTGGTCTGTGCCTCTCCTTGTGGATCAGGGATCTCCAGAGAAGGGAAGTTGGCAAGAGTTCTTTTACACAGTTTCTCAAGTCCTTTGTAAAGGGAGGAAAAAAGGTCACTTCAGAAGATGGGGATGCAGAAGAAACACTGGTGTCCCTGGGATCTGGAAGCAGAGTCTGTGACACACTCACTAGGTCATCTTGCCTCTGCTCCCATCACAATGGTCCTGCTGTGCCCATTCAGGCTGCACATTTCTGCCTTTTTTCCTCTATATCTAAAACTAAGGAAGTACAAAACCTAAAATCCCTCTTTATCCAGGGATGTAGCAAGTTAAACATGTCATTACAGGGAGGAATTGCAATTTGGGTACATTTTTAACCCGTCAGCCTGGGCTTGTTTGACATCTTCCCAACTCCAAAGACATGGTATGAGCTGTGCTCCCTCAGGCTTTCAGCACCTAAACCTCCTTCAAGTTTTCCTACCTTTATCCAGAGAAGCTCCAGCCATGTGGTAGAAGCTCAGAGCCGTGTCCACGTCGTTTATGTTCTTCAGAAAAGTGAAGAAGTTCTCCACCTCCTCAAATGTCAGCCCCTAGGACAGAGACAAGGCACCCACATGGTGATGGGAACAGGAGACTATGGACAGTACCTGGACATGACAAAGTGGCTCGTTGGCCCAAAGCTGGATCCAGAGGGCAGTTGCACACTCCAAAAGTGCTGATTTTTGGAAGCCTGCACACTTGCAATGACAAGGTGAAACAGTCCATGAGCTGTAAGGTCTCTCCCATGAGCTGCAGGGATCCCTGGGGGGATGCAGCTCTTCCCCAGAAGGTGACACTGCAGAGCAGGCACAGATGTGCCCCCCTGGCTTTGCTGCAGGGCTGGATCGTTGTCTGCTCTGCTCTCCTGGGATGGGGAAGCACAGGGACAGGCATGGGAAGGTGTCCTGAGATCCCCCAGGAGAGGAGCTGCAGCTCTGGGACCCCCACCTGGTCACACCACACCTGATTTTACCAACCTGTTCAGCACCAGCACAACCACAGTGTGCTGGGACAGGAGCTGGAGCCTCCAGCTGCTCCAGCACAGCCCAGGAGGAGGGAAATCACCAGCACAGCAACAACCACTCAGCCTTCCCCTTTGGAACAGACAAATCAGCTTGTCAAGAGCACTTCAGGCCCAGGCTCCTCCCTTCCTGCCTGGCAGGACGGACTGATAGGGCAAGATATGAAACATCCCAGCTGCAGAACCCAGCACATCTCTCACCCATGGTCTGCATGAGAGCACACGCTCAGCCTGCACTGTCAAACATAAATCCACATGATCTGCTGCAACCCTGCTCAAACAACTCCTCATCAGGAGCCACCAATCTTCTTGGGAAAGAAAAAAGCACATTTTGAAGGGCTCCTCACACTGACACGTGCAGCCTGTTCCTGTCTTTGCTGTAGAACTGAGCATGTGGCAATGCACCGATGATCTACGTGTGCACCAACACGTGAACAGCAGCTTTGTCAGCCCTGGATCCATGGAGCCAGGCCAGAAAGGATGAGATGGCAAAATGGGATAGCACACGTGGACTAGGGAGCTGGACAAATCCCTGGTGGATCTGCAGGGAGCTTTCCTTGAACGTGTACCTGCCCCACTTCCCAAGATGTTCAGCAGAATTAAATTAAACACTGTCCTAGCAAAAAAAAAAATAACCCCATAAATCAAGTGGTTCTGCAGGAAGCACTGCAAAGATCCCTCTGCTTGGTACAAGAGAAAATATCTTTGCAATTATCAGGATGCCTCCCTGCCATGCTTTTCCTGGCTGACAGGCTCCTGCCTGGGAGCAGGGCATGACAAACGAGGGAGGAACCACAAGGTGCACAGTCACTTCCAGGCCAGCAGAACACCCTGTGCTGGGAGGTACCTGCTCTGTCTGGGACACGTGAGGCTTGTAGTGGTGGCTACAAGGCATCCCAGCAGCTGTTCTAAGCAAAGAGCCAAAAATGTTGCATTTTCCTGGGATGCTCCACCATGAAATGACAGATGTCAAGGCCAAACAGTGCAAAACAGACCCTTGGTTGGAATCCTGGAAGGGTTTGGGTTGGAAGGGACCTTAAAGCTCGTCCCATTCCACCCCTGCCATGGGCAGGGACACCTCCCACCAGAGCAGGTTGCTCCAAGCCCCATCCAACCTGGCCTTGGACACTACAATCCCAAATACAGGGAAGGTTTACATGTTTGCATATATAAATTTGTGGTCCTTTCAGCAGCTGAAAAAGCAAAACCAATGACATACATGTGCATCCTACAAATCTGGGCTTTCATATGGACTGACACTGAATTTCTGCAGCAACAATGCCTTTACTATTATGAAATTTAATATTTTATTGAGGAATCCTGTAGCTGAGATTGGCATCAACACTAACTCTGTCCCAGCTACCAAAATACAAACAAAATCAGAGGCTGGGACAGCCTCAGGCTCGTACCAGCAAGTCACCAGATGACTGATCACCTCTTTCAAGGCCTTTGTAGCTCCAGCTGTTGATTCATAAGCCTGAACCCTTCCATCATTCAGGCAACACTCCCATAACATCAGCAGGCAGCTCCAGGAGCAAACACCTGCTTGTAACATGACAGCTTGAACACCTCCTGCAAAAATTAGGGCCCTTTTCCCCAGGAATCCAGGTTCAGCCAGGGAGAATTACACCTCACTGCCACCCCCTGCCACCTCCACAGAAAAATACCTGAGCCAGCCCCCAAAGCACATACTGACAGTGCCATGAATCACCAGTTTCTGAACAGTCAGCCTGGTTTTCTAGTGGTTAGGGAGACATAAATATATCAAGTACTTTGCTTGTAAATATCCCTGGACTCGGGTCCTTTTCACTGGGAGAAAAGCAGCTGTGTAAGTATAACTTGAGGAGGACAATCACAAGCAATTTTAAGCAAAGCAGCTCTGCTGAATATGCAAAGTTCACATATCCAGGGTAAAGTGGGATTTTTCCTCAAGAAAAATAAAAATAAAAAAAAGCAGATTATCAGTTAATACAAGAAAACACTCCCAAAAGCAGGAATGTAGAGTAACAATGCTGTAGAACAGCTAAAGATTAGATTAAACCCAGAGCTTTATCCTTTTGGAGGCTGCCAGGACTGCCTTGTGCAGGACAGGTAATTGCATGAGACAAGGAAGAGGATGTTTGGCAGATTCCATAAGAAAGCTCTCATGAGATAACTGCATTTTCAAGGGAGAGCTTGTTGGTGGCTTTGGAACAGTTACTGGGAGTTTCATCCTCACCAGTGTAAGGAATCAGGAACTTTCCAAGAATTCCATTCCTTGCAAATGTATTTTTTCTTGTCCTATTCCCCATTTTCCTCTCCTTGGAAGTCCTTGGAATAAAAGAAGATAAAGACTTGCTCTGAATCTGGTTGTCTGCAAATAGAAGCACAGTCTGGCTGATTTGGGGATGAGGAATAAGGTAAAAACAAAAAGTTCTTCCCCTGGCACAGATGTCAGGGGCTTGGCTCACACATGAAAGGAAGAAAACATCTGCTGTAAGAAGCCTTCCAAAACAAATCTCTCTGCCTATTTTCTCATTCATCCAGCTACAGTTCAATAATATCTATATATACACACACACACAAATTAAAAACCAAAAATCACAGCAAAAGAACTGACTATTTGCAAACTTTAACAACAGAGCTGATAATTTCTCTTAGACACACATTGCATTGAAGTATTTCTTTCCTGGAAAAATCAAATGATTCCTGTTATTGCAGGAGTCCTATTAAGGCACCAATAGGGGACAAAAAAGGACCAGACCCTGGTCAAAACTTGTGTTTTATAACACACTTGGCATCTAAACCAGTTAAGAAATAAACTCCAGTTCTGATGTCAGGAGGAAGCAGCTCTAAGACAGCCAGCCTGACCCAACAGGCAGCCAAAGACTTCCCATCCATTCTCATAGTGAAGAATTGCTTGTTTATAACCTAGTTAATAAAAGAACATTCCAGCTTTATAGGAGCAGAAGTAAAATTCTAATGCTCGAGTCATTCCTCAGCCCATACTTGCCTTACCTGATAAGGCACGTCCTTGTGCTATGGATCTCTTATTCCAAGGTCTCACACTGAATTAATGAGTGCAGGGTCTGCAAACTTATCCCTCTCTAAATTGTGAGTAATTCAAACAATTTTTCACAGAAGTTAATAACTAAATAATAAACCTCCTGGTCGCAGCAGCTAATTAATCCAAGGTCGAGCCGGGAACCAGGAGCAATGTTTGTTCTGGCTCCAGACCCAGGGTAAATTTGCTCAGCAAATTTAATTTTTAAAATTACAGCATCCATTTCCATAGGAACGAGCCTGCACTGAGCCCTGACCACTGCACTCCCATCTCCTCCCCCTCCCTGCCAGGGATGCTCTCCCCGAGGGCAGGGATGCTCTCCCTGAGGACTCTCCCTCAGGACACGGAGCTTGCTCAGCATGGCACAGCTGCCCCCACCTCAACCTCCCGAATTTCCCATGAATGCCACTGACCTCTCCGTCCTGGAAGTGCTTCTTGAGCTGCTTGAGCATGACAGTGAGCTTCTTGGACTGCACCCCGCTGTAAGCCAGCAGCATGCTCCCGAACTGCCGCTCCGTGATCCGCCCCTCCACCGGCTCGTGCCGCTCGAACTGCAGGGACACAACACAGGTGTGGGAACAGGGCAGCAGGAGCCTCCACCCCGGGGTGTGAGCTCCAGAAGGCATCACAACAGAGAATGGGAATCACAACAACACTTGGGAAGAAACATCTCCAATATCTGCTTTCCCCAGGAATTGACAAGTCAACGTTCTCCCCGCGTGACCCTCCTGGGAGAAGCCTTTGCATCTTGCCCCGTTGGTTTTCCCTCCCAGGACTGAGCCAGCGTGCCAGTGAGTGCTTCAAAAAGCACGTGCAGGAGGGGTTCCATGGCTGCTGTTAACAAACCAAAGGAAAGGCTTTGCAAAAACTGAGTCTCACTTCAGCTCTTCTCTGCTCCAAGCCCTGGGTGGGTGTCCCAGCAAGGGAATGGTCGTGGATGCCTCCAGACTTCACCTTCCCCAAGTTCTCCTTGTCCTCAGCCCCCCTGACCCTTCCAAACGCTGCTGTGTTTGCCCTGCAGGAGGTTTTCTCCATAAATCCCTCTCTCCTGCAGTACTTCATCTCCTGGTTTTTGCTGCAGGGGAGGAGGGAGAAGCAATTCCCCAACCTGGGAAGGTGCTGGCTTGGAACACCAGGGCTCTGCTCACTGAATAATGCAGATTTCATCCTCCTCCTGTTCCCCACCTCTTTGTGACTCTACCAACATGTCAGACCTCACCTGGTTTCACAGATCTCAGCACTCAGGATCCCTTATTTGGTATAAATGATATCCCTTCAAACTTATCAGGAAACATACACTGGACACACTCCAGCTGATCACAAGCCAGAAGATGACATTTAACAACAATTTTAACTTTTAAACTCGTAAAGAACAATGTGGTACCAGTTACTTGGCACTCCACTGCCCAGGGAGTTCACCAGTCCTGCCTCAACTGCTCTTCTGTGCTACTAACTTCTTAATTATCAGCATATCAGCCAGATTTTGGCTGCTTTTCCCAATGGAACACCCAGTGATTCCTGACACGTGGAGCACCAGGGCTGCAGGGGTTTGGATGGTTGGTTTGATTCTCCCCAATGGAGAAATTCTGCTCCTTGGCACCTTGTGCTCTCACCTGGGTGGCCCACGCAGGATTTGGGGAAAAGATGGTGCTTTTTACTGTCACCTGACACAGGATTTGGGGATTACTCAGGATGCAAAACGTGGGCCTCTCCCATTCTCGTGTGCTGGGGAAAGGAGGGGGGGGAAACTCACTTGGAGGAGAAGTATGTTCTTCATTAAAAAGCAGAAGTAGTTTCTGCCGTGTTTGAAGGATGCAAACAAGTTTTACAACACCCCAGGGACGCTGTCAGCACTGGTTCAAAAGCAGCACCAACTCTTTCTTCTCCTGTAATATTCCTAATTTCATCCCCAAAGACACAAACCAGCATTTTTATACCACCAGCTTTCAAATATCCCAAGTTTTAGCAGAGCTTTAGGCAGCATCTTTTATTAAAGGCTGAGAATCGGGTGCAAATATCTCAAATCAACCTCATAAGTGGTGAATATGCTCAGAAAAGCTTAAGTCAGTGTCTAAAAGCCCAGTTAGGAGACAATGCTGAAGGACAAAATAAAGATAAATGAAATCTAAGATGAAAACTACAATAACTTATTTATACAAATCTCTTTAAAGTACCAAATCATCCTGATTCCCTGGGAATAAATCAACTCATCTCCCCCCTTGTGAGCTCCAAAACTGGTTCTGACTTTTCATTTCTGCAGGTGGTTGTCAGATGCAGTGATGAGTCCATACAATTATCCACAAGAAATAAAACCCTGAAAACTGTGGAACTAATGCTGTTTGCTCTGGGTTTATCTCACTTATTTTAATAAAATGAGCATCTCTAACATTAAACCAAAACACTCAGATGGCCCAAGAGTGATGCTCATTGCAAAGGCCAGTCCAGAAAGGGGCTGGCACAGAGAGCTGGTCAACACCCAGCTCCCAAATTCCAATGGAGCCACCACTGAACTGAGAAAGAGCAGCAGAATCACAGCAATGGATACAGAAAGTTCAAAACTTGCCTCCAAGCTAGTGTCAGACACATTTAAATTAATTACAGAAGGGAGAAACAGGGCATGTCTCTTCGAGATGATGTAGGCAAATCTCAGGCAGATAATTCTGCTTATTTTTTGCTGGTATGTCAGCAATTCTGTTTATTCCTAAAGAAACTGGGCTTCAAAGGATCTGTGGGTGGAAATCCCTTGATTTCTGCTGCAAAATAACACCCCCAGCTATCCCTGACACCCCTTTTCCCACCTCCCTGCCTGGGAGCAGAGGGACATCTGCATCCCCTGCCTTCTGGAAAGTCTTCTGGGCAACCCATTTGGAAATGAAGGAGGGTGCAAAGCCTACTGTTATTTTAATTTCAGTACTTAATACACAGCCTACAAACACTGTCAAGTGTTAAAACCCCCTGGGTATTTGAAAAGGCAGGAAAAATAGTGCCCTTTCCCAGGTAATCACAATCCTTTGCCTTCATGCTTGGGATGATTCTGGACAGGTGATTTTCCCAGTTACTCAGGGGGGAAAAAAAACCTCCAAACCCTCCAAGGATGGGATGCACCCAAGGGCAGAGCACACTGGGATTTGTTGGAGGCAAGCAAATGCTGTGACAGCCTTTCTGCCTTTCGTGATCCCAAAGAAAGGCAAAGCAGGGCCAGAGCAGTCGCTCATCCAGAGTGGGATGGAGCAGCTCCCACACAGGACACCCTCCAGCAGGGAAAATGGAGGGGATGGGGGGTCCTACCCCTTCTCAAACTGCAGCCCCAAAATCTCCACACACAGGACAGAGGCCGGCGAGTCCAACACCTCGGGAGCAGCTTCCACCAGCAGCCACTTGGTGCCAGCAGTGGATTCTGCATCCACACACCGGCCAGGAGAAGGAAAAACAACCCTGCCAGGGCCCTTCCTGCAGGCAGGACACCTGAGAGGCTGGAGGAATTAGCTTAAAATATAAAAGGCAGTATTTTGAAATTCATTAAAAGCCGATGCAACGTGAAAGGAAATCCAAGGTGTTTATGGAACATGCAGTTCATCGGGAACTGGAGGGACAGGACACAGGGAATGGCTTCAAACTGCCAGAGGGCAGGGTTAGATGGGATACTGGGAAGGAATTCTTTGCTGTGAGAGAGGTGAGGCCCTGACACAGGTTGCCCAGAGAAGCTGTGGCTGCCCCTGGATCCCTGGAAGTGTCCAAGGCCAGGTTGGACGGGGCTTGGAGCAACCTGGGCTGGTGGGAGGTGTCCCTGCCCATGGCAGGGGTGGGACTGGAGGAGCTTTTAGCTCCCTTCCAACCCAAACCATTCTGTGGGAGGGGAAGAAGGCAGGAGAATTGCTCAGCTTCACTGGCCCAGTCCCAGTGGCCAGTCCTGATACACATCAGGGTCCTTTCTGATTTCTTTTTATTTAAAAGACTACCCATGACCTGAAACATGTGTTAAATACTCCCAAACTCCCCAAATCCAACAGGATGATCATCTTCATCCTTCCCTATAAGCTGAAATACAAGTAAACTTCCTTCTAGCTCAGCTTTCTGTCTGAAAAAACAGCCCCACTCTCCTTCTGGTGCCAAGGAAAAGCTTCCTCACGCGAGCAGAGCAGAAAGCAAATAAGCAGTTTTCTCTGCTTCCACATCCCCTCAATTGCACAGCTTTATAGAAAGGCAGTACAAGGACCTGCAGTACAAAGACCCATCATCCCTCTTCTTCCTCGCTTCACAATTTTTTTCCCCCCACTAACTCAATCCTCCTTCCCCTGCAGGAAATCAAATCCCAGCCTCTGGGAAGCATCCACCCGAAACAATTCAGAGACACCACTTGACTGAAAAAAAATCAACTTGCTGGAATTTCTTAAATGCAGACACTGTTCCTCTTTTGTCTCTCCTTCTGCCACCACCAGCTGCAGGGCTGAGACACAGAAAGAAAATATAAGATGAGGCAGTTTCAACTTGCTCCAGGACATCCCTCCTTCAAAAAGAAAGGTCAAACTTAGGTAGCAGACACTTCTCAGGGGAAAGTTTCTCTTTCCAGCTGACTCTCCTTCCTCCTCAGTAACTTTGTCATAACCAGTAGGGGAAAACTCTACCTAAAACCCTCTCTAACCAGAGAGGGCTTAAAAAGCTGCTGCAGGCTGGTGATTGCTGCCAGCAGACTGAGCTGTGCCCAGGAGAGCAGCACCTGCCCTGCACCTGCCTGGGGAGGGAGGTCAGAGCCCCAGACCCCAGAGAGGGCTCAGCATCACTGCCCGGCCACAAGTGATGTAAAATCTCCTGCTGGAAGGTGAGGGCCAGCACTCCTGGCATTTTGGGGCTGCACACCCGGGTTTGTTTGGCTTGCTGAAGAAGAGGGTTAAAACAACCATCAGGCCCCTTCCACTTGGCACAGGAGCAGAAGGAGTTTGGGTTCTACCAAAGCCAGCAAGAGCCTCAAATCCCAGCAGTGCAAGAGGGAAACACGAGCAGCACGATGGAATCACAGCCCAGACTGCTCCTGAAGCAGAGCCAAAAGGATACAGCTCCTGGCCTCTGCAAACACTCATATTAGCTACATATCTTGCTGTATTTTAGAGCCTCTTAAATCTCTAGGAAGGCTTCTCCTAAAAGCCAATCAAACAAATGATGTATTGCCTAAAATCTCAGAGCAAGGATCTCACAAAAAAAAAAAAAATAAAATGTGTGCCACGTTTCCAACTGAGATAGTGAGGAAAAATAAATCTACAAGGACTTTTAGACGGAGAGAAAAGTGTCGAGAGATGATTTTTGAGCTTATTTCTGCTGGTTAAACAAACATCCACAGCAGAAATATTGCAAATACTAATTCTGTCAGGTTTAGGGGTAGTTGGAAAAGGTGACCTGTTCTGAGAGCTTGTTGTGTGCATAATAAGGAATCAAAAGGGTCTGGAAAATAATGATTTGTAGGGTAATAGTCAGATTCACAATATATGACCCTTTAAAGTGGTATTTGCTCACAGCTTTATTTGACAGGCCATAATACATTATTTATCTGCAAACC